GGATAGAGGGACATGGATATGGGGATAGAGGGGTGTATGGACACAGGGATAGAGGGATATAGGGACGTGGATATGGGGATAGAGGGGTATATGGACACAGGGATATGGGGATAGAGGGGAATATGGACAGAGGGATATGGGGATAGAGGGGTATATGGACACAGGGATATGGGGATAGAGGGACATGGATATGGGGATAGAGGGGAATATGGACACAGGGATATAGAGATCTATGGAGATATGGACATGGAGATATGGACACATGGATAATATGGATATATGGGCATATGGACACATGGATATAAGGACATGGACACGCAGTGACAGGGACATATGGACACAGACATGGGGACAGATATGGGCATGTGGACACAGGGATATATGGACACATGGACACAGGGATATATGGACACGTGGACACAGGGATATAGGGACACAGGGATATATGGACACATGGACACAGGGATATATGGACATGTGAACACAGGGATATAGGGACACATGGACACAGGGATATATGGGCATGTGGACACAGGGGTATATGGACACGTGGACACAGGGATATATGGGCATGTGGACACAGGGATATATGGACACATGGACACAGGGATATATGGACACATGGACACAGGGATATATGGACACATGGACACAGGGATATAGGGACACATGGACACAGGGATATATGGGCATGTGGACACAGGGATATATGGACACGTGGACACAGGGATATATGGGCATGTGGACACAGGGATATATGGACACAGGGATATATGGACACATGGACACAGGGATATATGCACATGTGGACACACAGCCATGCAGGGCCAGGGCTTGGGGCGTGTCCCCCATGTCCCCACGGCGTCACCTCGGTCCAGTTTGCTGTGGCGCTCCAGGAAGTCGAACCAGTGCTGGCCGGTGGCGATGGCGTCGCCCTCCCCGCTCGGGATGTCCTCGCGACACGCGGACTTGAGCTGCTCCAGGTCCTCGGCCGTGATGTTCTGGGCCAGCTCCTCCAGCAGGCTGCGGTACTCGGCCATGGCTGAGCACGGGGGGCACAGGGGGGCACACACGCGTGTCACGAGCGGGGCCGGGCTCAGCCACGCATGACACAAGCGGCACGGGACTCAGCCGTGGGTGTTACGAGCGGGGCCGGGCTCAGCCCCCCGTGACGGGAGCACCCCCTGAGCTCGACCCCACGTGGCAGGAGCTGCCCTGCCCTCATCCATCCATGTCACGAGCTGCCCGGCCTCAGCCACACATGGCATGAATGTCCACAGCCTCAGCCACCCACAGCACGAGTGGCCCCGGCCTCAGCCACTGGTGTCACAACCGGCTCCAGCCTCAGCCACGCGTGTCACGAGTGGCTCTGGCCTCAGCACCCCCTCCCGCCGTGCCCGCCGGCCCCGCGGCCGTGACTCATGTGACACTCACGGGATGTGACAGGGACCGACAGGGACCGACGGCGGCTGCTCCGTGTTCCCCCCTCACCCCCCTGTGGCGTGGGGGGGCCCACACGTGCCTTGGCCTTGCACAGACCCCCCCTCCGTGGCACGGGGCTGTTTGCACGTGCACCCCAGTGGGGGGGGACCCCCTTTGCACTGACCCCCCCCCGTCACACTCACCTCGACCCTGGGGGGGGGAAATCGCGACCACCCCCATTCCCGCGTGGGGGGGTGTATGTGGTGGGGGGGGGGTCGTGTCTGTGCGGAGGGGGGTCACTGTCCCCCATCTCCCGCTGGTCCACGGTTGCCATGGAGACGCCGCCA